GGAATTTCTTGGTCCCGTATTTATTTTGTATATAGTCAATCCATTTTTTCCAGTCTCGTTTATATCTCTCATTTGAGTGATCTTTAAGATATGAACCATATAAGTCTTAAGTGCTACTCAGGCAGGGTCTGCTGCTTGAGAAAGACTGAGGGATGCTAGTAACTCTCCATATTTAATTCAAAGGCTTTAGGCCAGTGCTTCTCAACCTTGGCAATGTTAAGACAGGTGGACTTTAAACTCCATCCCGCCTGGGGAATTCTGGGAGTTGAAGTCCACACATCTTTAAAGTAACTCAGGTTGAGTAAGCAATGCTACAGGCTTCTAAATTCTTAAAACTGGCTTTCTACGCCGCTCAGCTGTTCTAAGATTGTGCTTTTTTATGCCCCAGGGAGCCAGCTTTGCGCGCCAAATCCAACTCTCTCAGTGAGCAACTGGCGGTAAGTCTTTGGTTCACCCGGATTGGCTTTCATTTCTCCAGGTTTTTAATTTCAGGGTTTGACCTAAACCAGGGGTGGGATTCACATTTTTTTTAAGACCAGTTTTGTGGGCGTGGCTCGGTGGGCGTGGCTGGATGGTCATGTGACTGGCTGGGCGTGGCTAACTCTCGTGGCCATGGGGATGCTGTGAAGAACAGCCATAAGTCACTTTTTCAGTGCCATTGTAACTTTGAATGGTCATTGAATAAACTGTTGTGACTCAAGAATTACCTGTACGAAAAATACAAAAAGCTTCTTTGCTTGCAGAAAGCCGCCTTAAATACCAATGATTAGATTGGAAATACTTGCACGCCCGGAGTTACAAATCAGACACAGGGTGCCAGATTGGTTATTCAATTATTTCTTCAAAGGGTTGATCATTGAATCCCAGCTGGAAGAACTCCGACAGGGGGAGTATTTCCTCCCAGTGGCAGAGTAAAAAGCTTAAAACAACCCTTTCCCTTTAAGAAAGTCAAGGCCCCAGGAAAGTCCCAGCAAAGGAAACATTTAAAAAAAAAACCAAAACATCTGGAGTCAATAAGTCTAGAGTACTGCCAAGAATGTAATAAGGGTTAACGGAGAGGCAGTTTCAGTAAGCAGGGCAATAAAGATTAGGCTGGAAACGACACCAGGATGTTTCCTTCCTGCCTTCCTTACAGGATTAGCCCTGTAAAGTGGAGGAAAAACAAAACAAAAGGACATTTCTTCCAACAACCGGTTCTCCCAACTGCTGTGTGTGGAAATACCATCCCCAAGAAAACATGAACTGGGATTTGAAAGAGACACTTGTCCCAACAGCAAAAAAACGAAAGGGAAGAAGGCAGGAAAGGAGGGGAGGAAGGAAGAAGACAATGGAGGGACGAAAGAATGGA